GCCTGAACAGGACATCGCAGCGGGAGACCTGAACAGGACCTGAACAGACATCGCACCGGAGCAGGACATCGCAGCACCGGAGCAGACATTGCAGCCGAGCACGGACATCGCAGCGGCGCCGGGGCAAACATCGCAGCGCAGCGGGACACCAGCGGCGCCGGCACATCCGAACGCAGGTAGACCAGGAGACCAGCGGCGCCGGGACCGGCGGCGCCGGGACCAGCGGCGCCGCGATCTCGCCGCGCCGTCGGGACTTCGGAGCGCCCATCCGACCGGCGCTTGAGCAGACCGGACACCGGCCCGGACACACGGTACACACGCCTCACGGTGAGACGCGGTACTCCCGCTGAGAGACGCGTGAAAACGGTGGGAAACGGGGTTTTTGCGGCGGGACGTGGAATTGCGGAGGGCCGCGGGTAAACGGAGTTGCGGCGAGACGTGGAATTGCGGAGGGCCGCGGGAAAAAGAGTTGCGGTGAGACGTGGAATTGCGGAGGGCCGCGGGAAAAAGAGTTGCGGCGAGACGTGGAATTGCGGAGGGCCGCGGGAAAAAGAGTTGCGGCGAGACGTGGAATTGCGGAGGGCCGCGGGAAACGGAGTTGCGGCGAGACGTGGAATTGCGGAGGGCCGCGGGAAACGGAGTTGCGGCGGGACGTGGAATTGCGGAGGGCCGCGGGGAATAGAGTTGCGGCGGGACGTGGAATTGCGGAGGGCCGCGGGAAACGGAGTTGCGGCGAGACGTGGAATTGCGGAGGGCCGCGGGAAACGGAGTTGCGGCGGGACGTGGAATTGCGGAGGGCCGCGGGGAATAGAGTTGCGGCGGGACGTGGAATTGCGGAGGGCCGCGGGAAACGGAGTTGCGGCGGGACGTGGAATTGCGGAGGGCCGCGGGGAATAGAGTTGCGGCGAGACGTGGAATTGCGGAGGGCCGCGGGAAACGGAGTTGCGGCGGGACGTGGAATTGCGGAGGGCCGCGGGGAATAGAGTTGCGGCGGGACGTGGAATTGCGGAGGGCCGCGGGAAACGGAGTTGCGGCGGGACGTGGAATTGCGGAGGGCCGCGGGGAATAGAGTTGCGGCGAGACGTGGAATTGCGGAGGGCCGCGGGAAACGGAGTTGCGGCGGGACGTGGAATTGCGGAGGGCCGCGGGGAATAGAGTTGCGGCGGGACGTGGAATTGCGGAGGGCCGCGGGAAACGGAGTTGCGGCGGGACGTGGAATTGCGGAGGGCCGCGGGGAATAGAGTTGCGGCGGGACGTGGAATTGCGGAGGGCCGCGGGAAATTGACGTGATCACGGTGCGATGCGGGACATCCGAGATCGAGTTGCTATGGGAGACCAGAGGCATCAGTGGACAACGGCAGCCGACCCTCACCGTGTGGCGAGTCGGCACAGAGCAGAGGGGCGGACATCAGGACCCTGCAGCCTGTCTGACGTAACCATGGAGGCAGCAGCGGCTGTGCTGCTTCTCTTTGGCATTCTTTTTATAAGAGGTTTATCTTGCAATGCAAAAAAGACTCTTCGTCCCCAGATCGGTGTTATAACTATGTTTCTGGATAACATTCCGTGGGGTTGCCTCAGTCTATGGACTATTAATGACGATTTAGCTCTATTGCGGGGCAGGAGTGCAGAGACGCAGATTACACTGCCAAATGACCACCGGCAGGCTCGTTCACAAACAGCTTCTAGGATTGCAGCCGGCACTGCCTGCAGCCGTATAGCAGACGTTACACTCTCTTTCCTAACTAGTAATCATGTGTCGTATCCATTTGTGGTGAATGGTCAGTGGCAAAAAGAAAAGGGGGAGAGTAAGGGGCGGCAAAGACAGAAACGGTACCAGGAGGATGCCACTGACACTGACGGCACGGGTAATAGGAATAGTATAAGTGACATAGGTGCAGGGCGGCGGCAGGCACTGCCGCGCTGTGGGGCGCTCTGCCTGCTGCTCGCCCTCACCTGCCTGTGCACTGCTGCCGACAGTGCTAGAGCAAAATGTGAAGACTGCTCAGATGGCAGTGATGAGAGTGCTTGTGTGAAGAAGACGTGTGCTGAATCTGACTTTGTGTGCAACAGTGGTCAGTGTGTGCCAAACAGATGGCAGTGTGATGGGGATCCGGACTGTGAAAATGGGTCTGATGAGATTGCTGATCTGTGTTATATGAGAACATGCCAGGTAAATGAAATCAGCTGTGGTCCTCAGTCAACCCAGTGTATCCTGGTGTCCTGGAAATGTGATGGTGAAAAAGACCGTAACAGAGATCCTGATTGCAAGGATGGAAGTGATGAAATTAACTGCCCTTCTCAGACCTGCAGGCCAGACCAGTTCAGATGTGAAGATGGGAACTGTGTCCATGGGAGTAGGCAGTGCAGTGGTGTGAGAGACTGTCTGGATGGCACTGATGAAGCAAACTGTGACAATGTTATTCAGTGCTCAGGACCTGGCAAATTCAAGTGCAGAAGTGGAGAATGCATAGATATCAACAAAGTGTGTAACCAGCAGAGAGACTGCAAGGACTGGGGTGCTGAGCCCCTGAAGGAATGCAACATACATGAATGTGACTGTCCAGCTGGGTTTGACTTTGTAGAAAAGAGAAATTGTGGAATTGATGAATGTCAAAACCCTGGTATCTGTAGTCAAATCTGTATCAATCTGAAAGGTGGCTACAAATGTGAACGTAGCCGTGGCTATCAGGTGAATCCTGCTACAGGAACCGGGAAAGGGCCATACTGGTACAAAAACACAAATAACACCTGTGATTACAATGACGCTGCTAAGCAGGGTTTAGGGGTTTGTAGCATGGAGACAAGGGGTAACAACTACAGTGTTTGGAACAATTGTGCAGCTTTGGCCTTACCTCCTGATGTGCTTCTGATTTGTGGGGATGGGGCCTGGCAAGGTATCCCTGCAAATGCTATCAGATGTCCATGTTACTTAGATAAACTCACTGTATTTGCTCCTAGCTTGTTACAGTTGCGTGAGATCACCAGACATAAATGGGCATTGCTTGCATTGGATTGCAATGATAATGTTGAATTGTGTGGGGTTGCAACTAGAGCGGCATTAGCAATTTCAGTGCCTAGAGTGGCATCTGCGGCCGCACGTAACAACTTAGAAAAATTGGAATGCTGGGCCGAGAGGCAAGCCTATGCCACGACAGAGATACTTGAGGAGATGTTACCAGATCAAAATAGTCTGCGACATCTGCTTTTACAGGATCAAGCTGCTATTGACATCTTGCTTTTGGCTCAAAGGAATGGGTGTGAGGACTTTAAGGGAATGTACTGTTTAAACCTTTCTGATCATAATGAGTCAATTCACAAATCCATTACTTTCCTGAAAGAGCATATGAGAAAGATTCAGTATGGTATCAATCCTTTCAATCAATGGTTCACTGACTTGTTTGAAACAAGGTGTAGATGGTTGCTGGGTTTAGTCACAAGGGGATTAAGGATTTGGTTTATGGTGGTGGTAATCATCGTTGTGTGTTGTAAGTATAGCTAAAGAGTCACTTGTAAAACTGCTGTGTCGGGCTTGGTTTGCTCAAAAGAAGAAGGGGGAATTGTTGAGAGATTTCTTGAAACAGCAAAAATCCCATGGCTTGCTGTAGCTGAGCAAACCAAGCTACCAGGGCAACTATGAGAAGTTCCCATGACAGTGTTCCCACATCGCCCAATTGAGGAACTCAGAAAAATATTGTTACCAGTAGCTGGCTTCAAGGACAAGGTCTATGTGACTGCTAATCACAAGGGGGTTGTTTTCTTGCAGGTGGGGTTGTTTTCTTACAGTTGTTTGTCTGAGTGCTTTTGACCAATAATCTTGTGTGAAACACTGTCCACCCCTGTTAAGTTCTCTATAAAAGTTAAGCTATTCGGGCAATAAAATGGAGCATGATCTGACTCTACTGTGTGTCTGTCGTGCTTTCGGCCGTGCTTCCTGCAACATGGTAACAAGTCAGAACTTCAGCTAACAATATAATCCACTACCTGTAAAGAAATCATACTTGCTAACAATCATTAATATTGATTTACTCTGACAACTACACACTATTTGGGTGTCTCTTTGCAGAGTGATGAGATGTTTAGTGATAAATGAGGTTAAAAAAAAAGGGGGGGGGGATTTAAAAATCATAGTTTTTGAAACATGCATTTTGTATGACACGCCATCTGTTTTAAAGCAGAGCTCTCCCTGGATTGCAAAGAGGTTGGTGTGCTAAATCTGATATACTCGAATACTAGGAGGGAAAACCCCAGTGCTGTTAAATTCAGTGACAGCTGAACACCCACTTGTGTCTTAAGCTACCTAAACCATAGTTTTATAAAATGGCCTTAACTGGCCTCTTGTTTGATGGAATAAAACTAAGTTTATGAGAGAGATGTAGTTGTAGTAATTAATCCACCCGTATGAAATAACTTTTTTAATTTTTCAGAAGAATTTGAAGTTGCATAACATGCATATAGTTGCGTGACAACACAACAGACAAAGATAGGGGAGAGAAAATAAATAGCCACTGGTGAAACAGAGTATTCCAGTGTGTTTGATCACCATTCTCCCTAAATAATAAACATTGCTGCTTCTCTAGATGACCTAATGGAACAATACCTACAAACATACTATGCTCAGGAGACTTCCACTACAGAGCTTCAGGCACTCTAATAAATTAGGCAGATTAGATGGCAAGAGATAAGATGTCCCAAGTTTCTGAGAGAGAATTGTGATACATTCTGGAGGGAACATCTGGTGTGTAACATGAAGTCTTTTATCATTATTTTAGTAATTGTGTAATAAATCCAGCAGGCAACTTCTGAGATTTATACAGCCCGAAAACCTTCCAAGTCCCAAAACTCATGTAATTTCATAGCATTCTTGACATAATGGAAAACAAAGAATTTCATGCACATATAGACCCTGTCAAAGCAGGCAGAATAGGTAAGACACAATTCACACAGGATCAGACACCTGCAAACAGTAACCACAGGGACAGTTTAAAACTTTTTCTTCTTACCTGCTGCTGCTTCACAACTGATGCTATCTTTAACGACACAAGGTGGACTCAGGGGCAAAACGTCATCATCAAAACTGATCAGATCTCCTTCCACATCTAGTTTACTTTGCAAAGTGGGTGCTGAGGAGTTGGCTGCAGGTGACAATTCCCCCAGAGACTTGGAAACTTTTTCTTGGAGAGATACAGGAGCCCGTGGGGGTGCAGCAATTGGTTTTAGCGTGGCCAAAGAAAAGGCAGGATTTTCTGCACTAGGTGACTTTTTAGGAACGAGAGGCCTTGGAGCAGGAACAGGATATTTCTTTTGTCCATCGTTCTCTGCAACCGATCCACTCTTTGTATCAAGAAAATCACTACTACTACTTTTTACAAGGCCAGGTTTTGGTTTCTTTGGCAGTTCAGGTTTGGTTGCAACACTGTTCCCAACTGCTTCAGGTTGAAGCTGCAATTCCTTGGAAGAAGGTGTTGATTTGCTTTCTGTCCATGCATCCCAATCTCCCGAAACTCTGCTTAGCCCTGGCTTTGGAGCAACTACTGGCTTCTTTGCAGGTACAGGTCTTGGGGCGAATGAACGAGGCGCAATTTCTGGTTTCTTTGCTAATCCTGAGGTATCATTAGTTCCTTGGGTTTCAAAAACTTTGATCCTTGAAACAATACTATTTTGGCTCTTTCCTGTACTCATGCTGTCCACTGCCAAATGATTGTCTAGTAAGCTATCATCTAACACAGATGACTGCTCAGCTGAAGGTTGCTGTCTTTTTGTGTTAGACTGGTTCACTTCTTCCCCATTGTCTCTTATCTGACTTTCAGTATTTTTGACCACAGGTCTGAGATTGCTTCTTGATCTTGGCTTTGGCACAGGACATATCACAGCATTGGGATTTTCTTGGTGCTTCTGACCTTCAGAAACATCAAAACCTATTAAGGAAGTCTCATTTTCTGAAGACCTATTCAGGAGAGATGCAGAAGGCCTAGGAGGTTTCAGAGGACTTTGCCCTACAAAAAGAAAAGAAAGGGTTTCAGTTATCTATTCTAGAACACTTGATTTATATTAGTTTTTATCATCGTTAGGGTGTGAAACAATGATTTTTGTTCAGAACTTAGTGCTGCTTGTGAAACTGGAATTCTCTTTCTTAAAAAAAAAATAAAAAAAAAATATATGAACTCCAGGAAGAAGCTGAAGATTGCTAAAACATACAGCATCTGCATGCTGTGAGTTCAAAACCTCTTAGCTTGCAGCCGGAAGGGTATGCAAGCAACATCTTGACCAAGGAATAGCACAGTGATTTCCTCAGCTGAGCATTGCACATCCAGCCAGTTACTTTTCAGCCTGAATGTGCAACTGCTGTTACTCCAATTGGACATCTGAGGTCTGCTAGCCCCAAAGCAATTGCCCTTATGGCTGAATTGAGGAAAACATTAAAGGTTTTTATTGTAAAGTCATAAAGACACATGATACTACTCATCTTCCTTGCAGAAGAAGTTTTAATTGTAGTCTAAACGTGAATGCAATAGTACTTCAGAAGAGAGCAGCTTTGCGGGAATTTGCAGCATCAATCACTCCCAGAAAAGTAACTGTTATTCATGTTAATTGCTACACAGATCAATAACGAAGAACATCTTCAAGAAACAGCCTAAGATTTTTATGAATGAGAAATCCAAAAATCTCACCTGGATAGCTTGCAGATTCCCAGTGTGCAGGCACACTGTTTTTTACATTACTTGCTGGCAAACGGCTGATTAGTTCCTCTGGAAAGTCAGTTTGTGTTGCAGAAGTAGTGGTATGTCTAGAAGCAGCAGCATTATTGTTATTTGTTGTATTGACTTGCACTTGATTAATTTCTTTTATCACCTGCTCATAAGACGGTGGAAGCTACAAGACAAAGAGAGAGAAATAGTAATGTATGTCCAGATGTGATCCTTAAAAAACAAAAAGCAAAACAAAAAAATATATAATATATATAAATATACATGTAAATTTAAAAATGCTAAATTAATGTATGCAGAAGAAAAGAGCACTATCTTTTATTATTCAATGTCATGAAAGCCTAAGCAAGCAAAAACTCGTAGTGATAATACTGTTTCTCTCTTCTTACCTTTTTTTTCATTTACCTTTATAATTCAAACACACCTCACGTAAATCCATGCTCACCTCAGCTGGAATAAGCTCATTTGTCCTCCACTGAGCATGAGACGAAGAAGAAGGGAATCCTAATCCCTGAGGAGCGACAGGGCTTGCACCTGGAAACCAGGAGGATGGCCGGAGGGGTTCAGCAGCAACTATTGTAATTTCAGGACGCCTAGAGATGAAGGCAAATGAGAATAATTATCTAAAATGTTTTAGAATAGTTTCTTTAAATGTAAAAGACCAAGGTTTTCTCAGCATGGAAAATCAAAACAGCTCAAGTCTTTTTGATTTAACCAAAGATATCTTTCTGCGATTTCAAAGCAACTTACCTGACCTTTCTAACAAGCACTTAGGCTTCCATTCAAAGCACCTAATTAAATGACTAAGCCAAAAAGTAGGTTTATTGGCTTCAGTGAAATAATTTACATGCTTAAAGTACTTAAATACAAGTGTAACTCAATTAGATGAAAGTAGTCTCAGTCTTCATGGGATAATGAGAACTAATCATGCATGTGCCTTTAGCCTGCTGCAATGTGCAAACAGTGGGATAGTTAAATCTGCTTCTGGCTGGCTACCTGAAAGATTGTCTGCCCCAAAGACTTCGGGAGAAGCCTCCAACTGTGCTACAGGAAGGCCAGAGCCCACTTCATAAGGCCTTTGGGACAGGGCCTATTTGCTTAGAGCATCTAGCATAACAGGGATTGCCATGGGTTTTTAGGACCTCTAGGTACTGCCGCTGTTTTATTACTGTACCAACTGCTTTAGAGGATAAGCTGCAGCGAGAGCCTCTGTTTCCCAGATACAGCCCCCAAGCCACTGCTGATTAATCTAGAATCCTGAATAAGATGCATTTTGAGAAGTGAGTTTTGTGAGTAGATGAAGCATCTGCTACAGAAGCCTCGGTCTGCTATCAGAAAAACTGCAGAAACATAACTTCTAAAATGATCGTAAAAAAATTTAAACAGGGGGGATGCAGTTCCTTCACACCTGAAGTAACAGCAGACTCGGTTCACCAGCTATTCAGGTTGGTGACCTCCTTTCTCAAATCTTTTGAGAAAATGGAATGAGAACTGAAAGTGTGCTTATTTTCATTGTGAAGTGATCCTGTAAATAGATGTCAGGAAAGTGAAACAGTTCTACACAGGTTTGTTGGTTGGTTGTATTCCTTTTCTGAGGACACAAACAGCACTTGACCAGAAAACGCAAACTCTTAGTCCACCCTGTGCTTAAGCATCACAGTATTTTTATTTTATTCCAAGTATAATTTATTTTTAAACACAAAAAGGATGAGGGAAAAAAAAAAAAAAGAGGAGAACGATGTAGAAGGTAATAAGACACAATCGAACAAGTTTTAGAGAAACATCTAAACGCAAAATAAATAACTGCATCTTACCTTCTATCCCTCTGCTGTTCACTATGGCTAGAAGTCCGAGAAGCTATTTAAACAAAAGAAACAGAAGTTTTGAAGAAGTTAAAATGTACCACCACAGCGGTAAGATGAGGGTAACAGCATAGCCCATACCAAGCCACCACAAATGAGACAGAGAGCACACAGCATCCGATCATAAATTCCAGATTTTAAGACTGGCCAAGGTTTTGAAAAAGATTATTTGTATTAAATACGAGGGGAAGGTTTTAAAAAGGTTTAGGACATGGTTTCATCATCAGTTTAAGTCATTCTGTGTTCTAGATACCATCAAGAGAGACCATCCTTCTTCCTTGCCATATGTTCCTGTCTCCTGCATTGCAACCCTAGAGCTGAAATTTGTTTTTCTTTAGCTTAAACAATCCATGAATAAAACAGAGAAGTGTTAAGCATATCTGGCTTTGTTTTTGATGGCTCATTTCTGAGATGTGTTCTTTTACCTCTTTTATTAAATTATTTTTTTGTTAGCTTTAAAGAAGGAAAGAGTACTAAGGCACAAAATCTAAGAAAATATTTCACCCTCCTTTATGTAAAAAGGAAAAAAAAGTTTCCTAAAGTTTTATCTCTTGTGCATTAAAGGTTAGCAACATTAAAAAAAAAAGTGCTTTAAGTTAGGCAAAATAAGTGAATCCTGACCCCTTAGTTTTTCTTTTTGCCATATTTATATTCAAATGATTTTTTCAATGGCCACATTATGTTTTCATTTTGATGTCTTCTAAGGGCAAAGAAAATTATCTGAGGGACAGATTTTGGCATAGCAAGGACAATTTAGGAAGCAGTAGAGACTTATTGTGCAGAAGCTGACGATTGTGCTGTTCCTGTGCCAAAGGCTCAGAGCTGGAATCTGAAATCAGCAAAGCGCACTTGATTTAAGAATCGCAGAGTTGTGTGTCAGACATACCTCTTCCACGGGGCATTTTTGATGTGCACTATTCATGAGTGCTAGAGGAAAAAAAGAAGGGGTTACAGAAGAGGAAGAGGGGGTGAAGGAGAAAAAAAACAAGGCTCCAGAGTGCCAGAAACCGTGATCAAATGGGTTAGTCACACAAGGACAGCGCACGTGCCAAAGATTTAAAAGGACAACTGTAATGTCTATTCACCATACAGTGTCTTAAAAAACTGAAATAAATCAGATTTTATTTCTAGTTCCATGCTGATTTTAACAATGGGTGTTCAGATGTTTTGCCTGCCATAAATTAACCATGAAGAATATAACTGAATATGGAAAATTCCACTGTATTGCTCAACAAAGTGCCACTGTAGGAACATGGGGAGGGGAAGTCCAATCTATTTTGAATGCTTTATTTAGCTTAAAATCGTGGTTTATTTGGGTCTGTGCTTTTTCCTCTCCAAAAATACTATGTGACATTGAGAAGCTGATACAGACGGCAAGAAGCTGGGATCCCACAATACCCACCCTAACACAGAGGTACAGTCAGGCATGCTGACTGAGGTAAAAGGCATACCTCAAAGTTTTAGCCATAACTGCACATCTCCTAACCCAGTTCTGTAAAAAACAGAAATCCCCGACATAACTGACGCTTCACCTTCACTTTGCTGTTCACAGATTTTAACACAGCGTTCATCCTACCCACACATTAAAGGGAAGACTATTAAACAAGCAAAAACAACCCCAAACAACCAAACCAACCTATTCCAAGTTTAGATTTACAAAGAGGTTGGAAGAAGCATTCATTTGGTAAATGTATTTAATAACTGTTCAGGGTACACCCAAATGGTAAAGGCTATTAAAAGAAATGGTAAGGAAATTAAAGCTAATTAACGAGGGATGTAAAACTAAACTGATAAACCTGTCAATTTCTTCCGATCTTTCTCCTTTTCTTGATGAAGACTACATACTATTTTCTCCCATGAGACCCAAGACATAATTCTGTTTATTAAAGTTATTAGAACAAATAAAAATATCTGTAAGACCTTTTGACTTTCTAAAGAGAAGCTAAAAAACCCTACAGTGGGGCATACAAATCTACATAACCCATCAAATATTTTTGTACAAAAATTTCAACTAAACAAGTAAACTCACATCAAAGCACCACATTAACATTACTTATATAAAAATAACTTCACTAGTAGATACAAACACATCCTTTCAAAAAGGAACAACACCTACACCATTATTTATGTTTTCAAAATGTGTCCATTCTGCTATTTGAAACAAAAAGTCCTGAACACTCATGGAATCATCTGCACAAGCATTTAAGATGAGCATTTCTTAGCGACCTCAACAAAATTCATCCCTCCTTCCATCAATCGCTCCCCTCTTTTTGCTTTCCTATTTTTGTTAGAACCACACTCCTACAGCATTTTACTTTGTGAGCTCTTAAATCCACAGGAGGAGCAGAGCTGAAACCTACTGCATCTTCTGCTCTCAAGCATTCATTGGAGTTCCAAGGCAGGAGCGGTCTTTGGATGCTGTAAGTCTGTTCTTCGTTCCCTTTGGGGATAGCCTTGAAAAAGCATGCTATTAATTTTTCCTTCAGATTTCAAATTATGACAGCATTAAGATTTTTTTTTTTTTTTAAAAAAAAAAAAACACATTTCCTCCATTAGGGGAGTCAATAAAAAATTATTTCAGTGTGGATTTGCATACTGACAAATAGAAACCCCCACTTCTACACTAAGAAATGCTCTGAGCGAGAAGTGTTAATATTTTCAGGAGTATATATTTAGTGGTTTTTAAGTAAAAAGTAAGCAAAGTGGTTAAAGAAGGGGTGGGACAGGAAAACCCAGCACATAAAATCCACACATTTTCTTCTTATAACTTTATTGGTCTCAAGGGAAAGAAAGAATGTCAAATCGACCCATAATATTGTCACTAGAGATATTTATTTCCATGAGTGTCAATGAGGCATCCAAATGTTTTTCCACAGAAAAGCAAACAAACAGTTTTTAACCTATTATAGCAGTTTTGAAGTGAGTAAAGGATTAATGGTAATACTGTAAGCAGGGAACAGATGAGTGACTTACAGATTCATTCTTTGTACACAAATCACTGGATAAAGCTGGTTAAATATTTTTGGCTGCGCAGGGTAGTGCCTGTGCTGGATGCTTATGTTTGAGAATGTTTTTCCTCTACAGTTCCTTCTCTGGGTTGTATTTTTCAAGCAAACTTGGCATTTCATTTCTGTTTGAAACACACGCCGATTATGGGGCTGGAAGCACTTTAAGCTCTGAGATCAAGATGCCCGTATAAGCACACTTTCTAACAGCCCTTACACCACAAACTCGTAAATCGCAATGATACAGATGAGCTGGTGGCAACTGAAGTCTGGCGTGCACTTTTGAGTCTTTTGAAAAGAGCTGGGTTAGAATTCACAGTCTTTCAGGCAACTTTTTTAGGCAATATAGAGGAAACTATGAAGTTCATTCAAGGATCTGCTCAGAGATAGCCTCCTGCTGTGCGCACTGAGTGCTTCCACAAAAGAAACACTGCATAATAATATCTGTATATTTCCATTAGCAAATCTGTATGAAATACTGAACAGCTTTGTCACCGCACACTGCTTTAAAAGCAAGTTCCATTTCCCATTACAGATTGGAACCATAGCCTCAAATAGCCCAAACCTTGCGTGAAATGAAGCTTCAAATTTTTCTGATGATTTTTATTTATTGTCCCTTCCCGTAGCTGTCAGTAAACATGGTTTGGTGGGTAATAGTGGTGGCTGGGGCGCGCTGGGACCTGATATCTTTGAGGTCTTTTCCAACCTTAATGATTTTACGATCCTTTCAATTTTCCTTCATATTAACTGTTATCAATGGGTTTTAAAGTAATAATATTACTTTCTCCAACAAGCAAATGTGCTAATATTTAAAACTACAGCTTCCCTCAATGCTTTTCCAACACTAGGCTAGAAATTTCTACCACTAATACTATGAAGTAAGCAGACCATTAGACTGAGAAGTTACTCTTCTCCCTGAATAGCTGCCCGGGGATAAAAGTTATTCCTTACGGTCTCAGAGAGAGCCACAACTGTGAGCAAACACTCCTTCCCCTACCTGCTAAGTAATACACCAGCAGAGCTGACAGACTGCTTCTATGCAAGAGGCCACGCTTAGGGCCTTTGCAATAGTGAGGGTGCTGCATGCATGCAGAGATGCACTCTTCAGGTGGTGCTAAAATGATGAGGTAATCCTCAAGCCTAAACCAGCATAGTGTTAGGTTAGAGGTTGGACTCGATGATCTTGAGGTCTCTTCCAACCTAGAAAATTCTGTGATTCTGTGATAGTCTAATTTCATCCAAGATCTGATAACACTAGTTATGTAGAAGCAGAGTTTCAAACTACTGGGAAATTTTCACACATCCCTGAAATAACAGGCTTGAGGCTTTTCTCCTGAACATATTTCTTGGCACAAGGGGGAGGTCTTGCTCCTTTTCTTCTAGTTCTGTTTCCAGGCTCCTCAGAGAAATGTCAGGCTGCCTGACCTTAGAGCTACGCTGATTTAATGCTTGAATGTAGCTAAAAGAGATGCTGCCCAATTCCTCTTCAAAAGAGAGACTTTTGTTCCCTCTCTTGAACCAACATTAGCACTTATACGACCCCACAGTGAGTGAGTTCAGAATGGTAAATACATGTAAAACTAAGCACTTTCTGTACGGTTTTTGTCCATTTTATCTCCCTGCCCCTGCCCTTGGGCTCAGACCACTGGCAGCACAGGGGAAGGAGCGTGCCCCCCTAGCAGAGGTCTGTTCTCTGCCTCTCCTTCCTCGCTCCAGTTCTTCTTTGGACAACTTCAGTGAGGGAACTGGTCAAAAATTATCTGGGGCGGAGGTGGGGTGGAACATGATGGGGATTCCTCTCCCCACCCACAGTGAGATCAAATACCTTCCCACAGCTGACCAAACTGCTGGGCACCAGAGAGGCTGGCATTGTTGCTGAATAAAATCTGTGTTAAGTACATCCTTCGGGAAAGCCTGCAGTTTCACTCAAATTTGACAGCAGCGATTTATGAAGATACTTCACTCCTTCCCACACCTTTCCTCGGGCTGTATGTTCCTGCCTCTGCACCAGTCCCTGCATTATGCCAGCCCAAATGTTTGTGCAGATGGGGAGAGAATGAGGTCATGGAATTGATCTGGTTAGGAAAAAATGGGAGCCAACAGAACCTAGGAAGCCCCCAAGCAAAACAAAACAAAAATGAAAACAAACAAAACGCACAGCCAAAAGCGGCTGCAAACCTGCCAAATGACAAGCCACAGCCTCAAAGCGCGTACAAGCTGTTACACATCCTTCATTCAGCCACATATTTGCTTAGGACAGAATGAGGATGGAACAAGTTTACAGGTTCTTCCAATATTTTATGGCAGCAGACTTGCCTCTGCAGCCCCCCTCTTCTGGAAGAGTGGAGAAGCGAGCAAAAGCCCCATTCCCCTTTGTATCACTACTGCAACACTTAGCTTGCTCCTTTTTGTTTTCTTTGGCATGTGGCTGTCTCGGGTGTCCATGAAAATCATTCCCCTGATTTCATTGTGAGCTGGCTTTAGAGGTGTGTTCTCAGCTGAGATCATCATTAAAAACCCAGGGGTAACTCCTGAAGAGTTCAGATGAAAAATGACTCCTGAGAACATCTCATTTTCATGTGCTTGCTTTCTTCAAGCATCTTGGGCTCACTTTTCTGGATTCTACTGAGCTATTAAACAACGGAAGAAAAACGACACCATCTTCTTATATAGAGTTGCAGTCAGGGTGGCCAAAAGGAAAATAAGCCCTCTTCCTCTTTGGCCACAAGACAGGAAGAGACCTAGCAGTATAAAGTAAGTTTAAGCATTGTCCATAGGTTGGAAAGTTGAAACCCTGCAGATACCTGTTGTGTTTCTTGAAAATTAGATGCGAACAGCACACCAAAGCTCTGATTAAGAAAAAAATTTTCTAGCACTGTTGGGAAAAATGTTGCTCCAGAGAATACCATACTTTTTCCAGATTAATGGCAAGCAGAGTTAGGAATTATTCAGGGTCCATTTTTAACTTAGATCCATCTTCAGGTATGGCTACTGGCATATATACACACACACACACACACATATATAGCCATAGTTTCATATAGAACGCCATAATATGGGCATGGAGATTTTTTTCTAGCTTATCATCTGTAGAATTCACATACTATTCATATTTTATCATGGTTATTCACATATTAATATTATTAAGTATAATTATATTGCATATGTGTCAGGGCTTCTTTACTAGAATTTTTGAACTTTTTTTTTTTTTTTATCTAAGCCTCAAAAGAAGGTATCTCTTGCTACTGTAGTTTCAGAACCATACATCTATCAATTGCTTAATGATCTTTTACACAGTTTATCAGTTGGACGAGGGTCTGGAGCTTAGACAGTCTGAATCAATTCCTGACTCCATGACAAAGGCCCTCTGTGATCTGGTGCTCTCTGTTTTCCAGTATCCTATTTGTGGCAGCAATAGCACAGATGAAGTGCTGCATTTTAACTACAGCATCATGTAGACTTGCTCTGAATAAAGCTTTCATGATCCCCTTTGACTACCTCCAACCTAATCCATACTAATGAGTCCCTTACTAATAGATCGAGGGAAACAAATCAGTAGAAACAAATCATACACACTAATGTATTTCCTCCCTGTGGCAGAATCCTCAAGGTTGTTTTGAAAGTACCAAACTGAAATCATCGACAGAAATGAAATAAAAATGAAAAAGGGAGAAAAAGAAACAGTATAAAGTACTTCAGAGAATGCAGCTGAAGAAATTCTCTATCTGGAAACATCATGAGCAGGGAAAGAGAAAGAGGAGTTAAAAAAAATCAGGGACAAAAAGATTATATTTTCATACAAGATTACAAACTATTCATTTATTTTTGAAATGAGTCATGTGCATGCAACAAATCCCGTCCCAAATGGGAAGGTGCTACGGATTTCTTCTGAAATTATTCTCCTGAAATGAATTGAACTTCTGTTTTGTCAATGGAGAAATACTGAGCATATATAACCCATGTTCTTCAGAGATGGATCAATCATATCTGCACACGAATGCTCTAGTGTACAAGTAAGAAAATGTTAGTAACTGTCAAGAAAGAACAGACTACCAGCAAAGCAAAAAGATGGTCTAACACGAGGAGGAAAAAAAAAAAAAGACGACAGACATTGCTAGCAGCTTTCTTTTCACATAAAAAGTTAACCAGTTAATAAAAATCAAGATGTAGCAATCTTACAATATTATGACTCTCAAAAAGTAAGAAAAATAGACTTACATCTCTTGATTGCTGCTCTTATGGATGACAAGGGTCCTTGGCTTAGTGAAGAAAGAACAAATGATTACAAAGTGGTTAGAATCTCAAAGAGGAAACAACTATGTAACGTCAATCTGAGGTTCCCTATACGTTGTACTGGGCTTGCCAAATTGGTTTATCCCCAAGGTTGCTATCTTAACAGAAACTTATCCAAAACTCTCGGAGTATACAACTACACCCAACCCCTTCTAATGAAAACCAGGTTGCAGCTTAGCTTAAAGACTCTGAAAAGATAGAAAGCCAATTTTGTAAAGCATTTGTTCTCTCAACTGTGTGTTCAAGTTCACATTCTGTCTCATTTGACTGGAAAACTTGGCGAGGAGCCCATGTGGGTGTGTATGCTCTCAGATTATTAGCATTTAATGACAACATTCCTGTAAATAACGAAAATTTACACAGCCAAGAAAACACCTACAGCCCCTCTGTTAAGTATTTTTAACAATTTCTTATCAACTGATCTTCACTTTCATTTGGAGTTGCATTTTTTAGTAATAACTCAGGGGTGGGGTTAGACAGGAAGACGTGACTACAAAATTGTTGGTACACAAGGACAGAAAAATGTTTCCTTTTGCCAACTCATCTGTTTTCTTGGTAAGACTAAGGTTTCTGTTGTCTCTCTCCCAAACATCTTATTTAACAGATACAGCAGCCTGTACTATTTCTGCAGGTACACATTAGAAGTAACCTGAGATTACCATTTTTACCAAGTGTTGCTAAATTGACGAACATATAAATAAACCTGCCATGTGTACAAAGTTAGAGAGGAGACTAAAAAACAAACAAACCACAAATGTAAACCTACTTCAGAAAAAGGTTTTTTCTTTCTTTCTTAGATACAATATGTAAAGAATACTTGGAGATGCCTTTAAAAGAATATTGAGCACTTCTAAGAGGCTGAAAATAGACTATACGTGGTTCAAATTAACACGGTATCTTAATTACAGCAGAAAGACATGCTAATCAAGCGTTTTCCAGAAACCCTGCACCAGAGCCTTCAGCTGCTGGAGTAGGAGCAGGAAGGTTGGTGTAGGGAGGGCACGAGCATCCTGTGACCACAGGGCAGGCACGCAGCGCACAGCCACGGGCAGCGCTCAGCCTGGCGCCGCCTGCACTTCCCCTGTGATTGCTGCTGGCTGCAGCTCTGCCAGTGGGATGAAGAAAAGGAGGGGCTGCAGGAGAGAAGAAAGAGACACTTACAAAGAACTTGGATGAAAAATGTCCTCCCTCTACATTCGCTCAGAAAACTAATTAAGACTAGAAATGAATGTTGCCCTGACTGAACTGTCTTCTGAAATCCTTTGGCTAGTCTAGGATAAACAATGCCTATTTGTCTGGTTTCAGAAACAGTTCAACTGTGGCTTGGCCCCTCTCCACGCAGCTAGCAAAGCCACATTAGAAAACATTTCTATCAGTCATATTTTATTGCACATTCTCAGCAGAAGAGGATTCTTGCTTTCCTTCAAACTATTCCATCACAATACAGCCTTATCTTCAAGGAACACTTTTAGTTTTATGTCCCTCCCTGATGCACCCGATTTGTCTTTTTTTCTTCCTACTAACTAAACTCTTTCTTTTGGATGTTCAAATTTGAAACTTTATTCTTTTGCCTTCAGTGCTGTGAGTAACTGCAATATTCAAGGTTTTAATTATATTTAGTACTGGTAGAAAGGAGACTAAAGTCTGGCAAAACGAATCTGAAGTCTTCTGGAGGAACAAATACCTTCATACTCAAAATTCAACATTTTCTTAAATTCTATTGCAGGAAATTAGGAAACCTACAAGTTATACATACTCAAGTATCAGTAAGACCCAAATGGAGCAGGTTAAGTTCTTTCTTCATCTGGCAAGAGCACTTGGAACCAGTTCAATTTGCCCCAGAATTTGATGAGCACTTTTAGATGTGAGCACGTATTTTTGGCTAGAACTCATAGGAGTCATCATACATGCAAAAATTCATGTTTTCTGTGCATTAAACTGACCAAAAGAGTATAGAAAAGACCTTAAAATCAAAGTGCAAAGACCATTCATGAAACTAACCTGGTGAAACAGAAGTACAAATATATCATCAGCAAGGCAGTTCAAGCGCGCAACCACCCGTATAATTCAGAACCCAAGATAATATGGTTCTGTTTGAAAATTTATGAACTCACCAGCAAAAGCAAGCCGTTATCAGATAGTTTTTCTTTCCCCCTTTCCATTAACAGGTCACCCTCAACACCCTTCCTCTCTTCTAGCAAAGCACTGTATTTGCTATCCCCAGGAGAGTTTGATTCACATTTAACTTACAATTATTTAAGCCCTTTAAAAGACAAGAAATGGGAGTGGATTTACAATTTCCCACAAAACCCTGTAAGGGGACTGCAAATTCCTCAACTTTGTTACATACAAAACCCCAGTAATTTAAGGAAGATGCTGTTCTTAGGGCAGCCTGTGATTTTTGCCCACACCTCATGCTGAGCTCACCCCACCCTGTTACGTAGGCAACAACTCCTGGTGTCCCATCCCAGCTTGCAAAACGAGGAGTGATAAGGTTGCTATTGTCCTCCTCTGCCCCCCAGTTAATGACCACATTTTCTCTCAAGGAATCCAAAAAAGTTAGCATAACCAAAGCAAATTTAGTTCTCCTATTTGATGTGGTAGGAGCTGCAGCAAGGACTCTGCTGAATGCAGCCCCTGCCTCTTTCCCACCTCCTCCTCCTGTCTGTAAAGCAGAGCAGCGAACCAGAGTGCACACACAAACAAACAAACAAACCACCAATACTCATGTCAAGGACAATAGTAAGTAAGAAGTTTAATTTGCATGGGATCTCTGATCCTGGTCCCAGCACGACTCTCCCAACAGTTACGCCAGGCTGACGGAGGGGATGGCATTGCAACAGCCAGCCCGCAGGGGGACAGCAGCTCCTGCACTGCCCTGCAGCGTGCACAGACCAAACTCAAACTGGTGGAAGAAAACAGAACAGACAGCAGGGAGCAGGCACTTTCACTGCATAAAAGCCTGATCAACATTAGCTCAAGCCACACCTAATATGGAGTAAGCAGAGATGCAAACCACTCACGCTGCCCCCATACTATTTACCAGGCAGCAGAGGACAAGTGGAGCAATTTTTTTTTGACATCTGATTTAGCCTGGACCTCACTCACTGTTAATTTAAGCACAAACTTTGTTCCATTTCCAACTGAAGGAGCAGCTCTGTTGGGTGTCCCAGGCCAGCCCTTCAGAAGGGGCACCTAGCCCAACTCTGGGCATCCAAACAAACTGTCTTGATAGGTTCAGAGGGGAACTTCAAAGCTGCTGTACTTGCTAGCTGAAAGCAGTCGGGTACTGCAACTCAGCAGTGATATGACAAGGGTCCAACGGATCACCCTTTCCAAAAGATAAAGAACCTGGAACGGTTTGTCTGAAGACATTAAACACCTCCTCACTCCTCCTGCGGGCTGCATTCTAGGTTTCAAGGACAGATTTCCCAAATATAAACACTTCAGGAAAATGCTTCAAAAGCATATTTTAAGCCCACTTATCGGGGAAATAAAATTGTCACCAGCTGCAGCTCTACCTGAAGGCCTGCTCCTGCAGCCCCTGGGCAGCAGATAGGAGCAGCACGGGGTTCGAACCACAAGGGTGTCTCTGAACCAGCAGAGGGAATTGTGCCTGCCGGGAGGGTCTGCATTTCACACGGGCATCTTCCCCAGGCTACCTACAGACTTCTGCCCTGTGGGCTGCAGCACTGCTCGGGATACAGAAGATGGCCCAAGCTATGGTCCTGTCTCAGCATCCCTCCTTCATCCACCTCTGAGCATCCATCCTCTATTCTGTGGCACACACAGGATGCTCTGCAGGAATCGTGCAATCCTCCGCAGTGCCTGCTCCCACAGGAATCTCCCTCTAGCAGAAGGGAGACCTTTGGTTTCTTTATCTGAGCTGACATAGCGATGAGTATTCTACAGGAAAACCGATTCCACCTATTTCATACATCGCCCTAGAGATTTTTCCAGTGAGAAAAAAATGAAAAAGGACAATCACGTGTTCTAAAAAACAAATACAATGAAGCATCTGCTCCGAACATTTATCCTTCACATCATGTTATATAAGATTTTTCTCAAGATATCCATCCTTCGGTTGACACACCTGCGTAAAAGGCATTTAACACATTTCAGTTGTGATAATTATTGACTCTTTACACAGGCACTTCAAAAAGTTAAAACATTGCTATTTTTAATATCTTGTGATTTACTGGAACATCAGCCAAGAGTTTTTCAATAGCTGATGTTGAAATCACTGTGAGGTAAAACACTAGGATAATGAAAGGCATGATGTGCTCCTCTCAGCTCCCCTAGAAATCACACTAACTTCCTAAGAGCCAACGTACCACAAAGTAATCTTTTTAAAGCTTATTAAGAAGCTGTTAATATTATTTAGAAAACATTATTCCAATCAAAATATTCAAAATACAATGATTTCACTGCAGACTGAGCTCCAGAAAGATGTTAGTGTTTCTAAAGAAAAATTAAGGCTGGTGCAAAAGATTGAATTTACCACCACCACAGATGGCAGGCCAAGGACAGAGCTGTTAGTTTACGTGACGCATGGACCCGAGGTTTAGTTTCTCCCTTGGTGTAAGACAAACAGAGAGTGCACAGCCAGCATAGGCTCTCCATTTTCACCAGTCCTCCTGGGCTGGTGCTGACATGGCTGCACGTCTGCCAGATCCGCCACGTGATTTTGCAAATAACAAACACCCCAATTAGTTCTCAGGCAGACAGGCTGACTGCTCCAGCTGGCTGCAGCGCCCCACAAGCACCAGGGTGATGCAAGAGGTGGTGGGAAGGGGCAGCCAGGGAGGCCAGCGGCTGTCCTTGTGGGAAGCAGCTCAGCCTCCATGCACAAAACCCGACCTTTAGCCCGTGACTCACTTCCAGCATGCAGCAAATCACCAAACACTGGCTCTGCCTCGGGTCAGCTGTTCTTCTCGCCCTTCAGCATCAGCTGATTCACTGCTGTGGTTTGGCTTTCTGCTCGTGCTGGTTGCCCAGGCTGGCTCGCTGGGAGATCAGATGAGCACCAGCAGCAAGCAGCTGGCAGCAGCCTGGCACCACTGTGGCTGCTCTGGAACATGAAGACACGCCCTCACCTTCCCTGCTAGCTAATGGGGTATTGCATCCTGTGGCTCTGCGGGTACTAATAAAGATCCAGTCACCTAAGAAATCAAGTGCTCAGCACTACTGATTTAGGAAATCAGACTCACCCTGGTACCACTTTACCTCTCTAGAGCCTGGCCCCAAAAGCAAGCAATCCCAAAGCAGTAATAAAGCCCAGTTACAATTCAATCCTCATCACTATGCTGAAGATGTCTGCTTCTGCATCACTAAATGAACAGAGCAACTGTGACTTCCCACTGCCTGGATAAGCGAGGACGTAGTTAAGAAGCAGCTAAAACCCAGCTGCTCGGCTAATTAGAACAGCTCACATTGATCAGCGTAGGGAGATGGTTTCAGAAATGGCTTTCTAGCTATTGCTTCAGCCACGTATTCCATATTCATGTGCTTGTCACTGCCATACTTGGGGATGGTATTTCAGCCACTGAACCTTCAATTTCATGGCAGGACACTGGAAAGAAGTCAAAGCAGATCAAGGCAGCAAATGATAACATTTCACCCACTGATCCTTGCAGCTAACTGCAGCCATCAGGCCGCAACAGCTTCCCCAATTAACGATGTCCAGCTTAGATCCTGAAGCTAAAACACCCCGAATTTTAGTGTGAATCCAAATCACTCAGTTCATGTGTATCCTGAATTAACACTTTCCTGATTCAGAGCTACAGACACGCTAGACAGAATTCCCCTTTTCACTTTGCATTTTCCTTCAGACAACCCGAGCTGCAAATCAGGGCATTATTCAAGTTTTCTCAGTCTTCACTGTCTGTTTATGGATTTCATCTCCCATCAAAATGTGTACGACAAGAACGGAGGGCCCTGCTTATTGAAGAGTTCGGCCCCTCTGTAACAGCTAAGAATCTACAGTCTAACCTACCTAGCAACCATTTGTACTCACTTTTGTGATACCTCTGCAACTACATCTCGATGGAAATTTAGAAATAATACTGCAAATGCTTTAATGGCAATTTAATCTTGGTAGTAAATAGAATAAGGGTGAAAAATGTAGGGAAGAAGCCTCTACCAGATAAAAAGACTTAACTGTCAACTGCAGCTTTTCCAGATGCAAATTCTTTACCATCGAAGTCCACAAAGTTTGTGCATTTACAAATGGCATGAGATGACAGTGCCCTACTTCTGCAGGTAAGCAGAATGAAATGAAGCTTCCTTCTCAAGAATGGCGCTTTGATTCAACTATTTGCAGTGGCATTTCAGTCAGCAAATCAAAGCCCTCAGTGGCCACTGACAGGTCATCCTGCTTGCCTCACACATCTCTGTACATCACAACACAATCTGGTGGCTGAGTGAGCTCCAGAACCTTTGTAATTGACCTCACAGATGAGCAAAACCTGTTTTAATAACGAAGGATGAGCAGGACAAAGGCATAGAGAAAACCTGTTGATCCAGACCCGCAGGATTCAAGGTATCTTTACAGGTCTTTAACTATTATAAAGTATGGATATTAGACTTTCCTCAATAGTCTGTGTACTTCATAGAGAATGTAATTATAGTGGCAAGGTTATCTTTAAGCTTAAAGGTTTGTAAAAGGGGAAAAGTGGTATGTGAATATCCTCATATTAGGATTAGAAGTATTAATAATGATATACTACCAAAACAGGGAACATTCTGCTTTACAACAAAGTAGTATCTTCAGTGTATATAAAAGAAAGGGAGTATCTTCAGCACCTACTAAAACCAGCTGCCTCCAGATCAACAAAGAGAAAAAATGAGGCTGGGGGGTGAGGAATCACCCAAAGCAGTCGCTTCTGCTGGCCTGCTGTAAACAAAGGCCGTGAAGCTTAGGAGCAGAAACACACCAGAGCATGTCTTCAGAGGAGAACGAGCAGGAACTAAAGGTACTGCCTGCAGGAATGAGCTGTGAGTGAGGAATCCAGAGGAGAAAGCTCAGGTACTTGAAAGTCTTCAGACTTCAAAGACTCCAGAGCTGTAATCAAACGGAGGGAGCAAGGCATAGGTGTTACTTATTTTGCCTAGATTTGTTTCCTGTGCAAACATAGCTGGGAAAATACAGGTCCGTTTGTTTCAGTTATTGTGCATCCTTCAAGGAAGATGCTGGCATATCTGTGAGGAAGGAGTTCCAGGGGAATCTCAAGGCATCTTAAGGCCTCCAGTAGGTTGATAATTGAGTGTCACTTCCAAGGGACACTACCAAATCGCTTTTACACTCAGCAGTTAAGATACTATCTGCATCCTGCCTAGTCAGAGATTAACAGCACACAATTCCAGTTCTGTAATATAAAAGCCAGCTGTTTGAGAAGCATCCAAAACATAAAGTTCAACCGCAGCCACAGAAGTGGGATCACGAAGCGTTCGATGCCGGCATGACCTCGGTTCCAAAAAATCAGCTGAGAATCTCTGAGAATTTCTAAGTGTGTCGGCCAACGCTGAGCCCTCTGACATGTAGGACTGTCACGCTCCTTTCGCCTAATTCTACTTCTTTGTAATCCGTCTGAGCCAAATAAGCGGCATGAAATGTGCTGGAGTTTAAGCTTTAACTGAGTGAGGAAACAAAAGGAATTTTCTCATTATTTTCATTGCAGGCATATGTTGAGAGCAAAGACATTTGTTGCGGAGGGGTGGCCTATAAAACAGATTTATCAATACATATGCATAGAATAGACTGAAGCCTATTAACTCACGACCAAAAAGAAACCCAACAAAGCATAAACCCTTCTACACTGTAAATGTGAAGCAGCAGCCAAAAATTTGTGTAAGAGTTTTACAAGGTCATCCATATACAGAGACATACTGGCTTCAAACTGATCATTTATTAAATACATAAAATAAATAAATGAATATCTAAATAATCATTTATGAGCAGCAGAAACTCATTTTGAGCCCTCCCATGTTAAAGCATCACAAAAGTTAAAACTATGCTCATGTGCTATCACATCTTGTTCCAGTGGACTGTTGACTCACCCAGTTACACCCTACAAGACATTAGGTCCATGAACTCACAACAGTGGCCCTTACAGAAAGCACAGAGCACAGAAATTGTAAATTAAAATCTCATAACCACACCCTTCACTCAACCTGTCTTTCCAGAAAGTGCCCTGCATGCAGCTCAGTCAGAGAAACAGCATGTTTGCCTATATGCTCTTCCCCTGCCCTGCCTCCATAAACACTGAAACGCTTCCTTTTCTTCAAAACCACAAATATTGGCAGAGATTTTGGTTACAAATACAGACAATGACTCCTTAGAAATCTGCACTGTTTAACAACAAACCATACACTCATACATCTGCAGGTCTACAATGCCTATCTCTTAAGTTTAAATATGATCTTAAACTGCAGTGGTTTTTTATTCACTTGCAAAGATTCAGCAACTCTGAGATTATGGTCAACCATTCTCAAAAGACACACTTTACAGATTATTTTTCAGGTAATAGCAGCCTTGTTATTCTGAGTGTGCAAGTATGTAGGCAAGGTATAGCGTACTGGTAAAGCTAGTATCTTTCTTAGCCCAAGCTGGGGAAAAAGATTCAAGATTTTAGATACCCAAATTCTTTTCCAAGTGAAACAGAGGCATCAGCCATCAAAGCTTAAAATCACACCTACACCTACAAAACCTGCATCTGTGCCAAACACACTACAAAACCCCCAAAGGCAGGCACTGATGTTGCTTTAAGACGACTCAAAATACCTACCTCACTAACCGGGAGAAGGCCTTTACCCACTGGGGACGCTTCCTCTGTAAAGCAGATCTCATCTTCGAGCAGGTCACCGTGAAAATGCCCTGCACGACAAAATGAACTTCCTCCACCCTCAGTCATATACCCTGGCTGCCTTAAACATCAGGGACCTCAAATTACATTGCAAAATAATAAATACTGCAGCCTCTAATGGAGGGTTACAGCTCGGAAGACATAATCACTATCATCACCTTTCGCCACTCAACTAAATTTAGCCTCACGAGCAAACACCTTGTAAAACAGACTGAACCGGACCTTCCTGCAGCAGCAGCTGTAAGGAACACCTTGCCAGGACATTTCAGAGCCACAAACATCAGTGCTCCTCCCTAGCCTGTCAAAATCCCCCAAACACATCGCCTTCCACATGCTTATCCCTGCACTTGGATCAATGCACCACTTGCCTGCCATCAGCCAGGTAGGCAGAGGAAATTCAGGAAGTACTGAGTAGCAGATTCAGCTTATTTGGGCAAATGAAAAGGCAGAACAACCACCTACCAGTGGGGTTACCCTTGTAAACAGTCTCTGATCTCTCATCCTTGAGCCCAAATCAAATCATTAAAATTTTTTTAAATTATTATTATTATTATTTTTTTAAATCTCCAGTGCAACTTAAAGGCTCTGGATCCAGACAACGAAGCAGGTAATTTCGCTGACCTCCATTCTCGGCAATACCTGTAACTCCAAAGGCAGGAAATTGTCCCTAATCTTTTTCACATCAGCCAACAACTTTACCTCCCTCTCCCCTTTTAACACGCCTCTGGGCCTCCAGGAGTAATAACTGATGAACACAACCAAGGCAAACCCAGAAGAACTGCATGATAATTTCCTCAAGAAGTAGCAAAGCCACAGGAGCTGCACTCCGTGGACCTTGTGGGTCCCTTCCAAGTGCAGATATCCTACGGTTCTGCAGGGAATGGCCGCTCAGCCTCTTACACTACACGACATGGAAAGCTTTATACAAAAGTAGCTGGCACCAAATTCAAAAGAGCCAAAAAGACTTCTCTGCATACAACACAAGGTTAAGCTATGGCACTTCTTGCTGCACAACACTGTGAATACTAAAAGCCTATATGCATTCAAAAAAAATAAATTAAAGAAAACCCATCGAGGGCTATTAAATACAAAGCAACAACTCTCTCAAGAGACCCCTGAGTCACGTAAATCTGGATGCTGACAGAATACATGGATGCCTTCCAATACATGCTTGGTTTTTTCCTCATCTTCTTCCCTACGCCTCTGCTTTGGACATAAGCAAGACAGAGTAAGCACATGAGAATAGATGGACCTTTTGTCTGCTCCAGAAAGGCCACTTTTACAGATCCTTAGATGTCTTTCAGGATGGAAGGAGGTTGCCTGTCTAAAACCTTGGACATTTCTTCCAGTTACTTCAGCTGTTCTAATTAAAAGGTAAATAATGTGGTGTTGTTTACCTTTTGATGACATTTCAAAATCTTTTTTTTTTCTTCTGTGGAAAGATTTTTGGCAATTTATAATTAAGCTCCAAGAATATTAATAATTTTGTTTTTTTTTTTTTTTTATTGCAGTTCAACTACATCTGTATTACACAAAGCAAAATACCTGCTTAGCACCTGCAGCAAGGCAGTTACTGCACTAAGGAGCATTTTTGTCAATCCAAATACTAACAGACGTCGTTTAAAAAAAAAAAAAACAAACACAGAAGACAATATGGGAACAGCAATTACATGAATTACTAAGTCATCATTTCAGATGTGTTCTATACTGAAAAAAAAAAATTAACTGCTGTTATTAACAGAGAGCATTCGAAGTCTGTTCACAGAGTACAATGTTCATTTAACAGAACACATTTCCCTGTTATGCCTCAGAAGAAAAAAGACAGATGGGGCAGCAATGAAAATGATCTTCTGTCCCATACAGCAGTAGTGTGGCTGGAAAGCCTCTCCTATAGCTGTCACTGCTGTCCTTGTCTCAGGACACTGCTCTTCCTTCCAAGATGTCAAACCTACACCTTTTAGGAGCAGGAGTAGCTTTTAGCTAATCATGGGCTGAGTGTTTTAGAAGAGGCAGTGAAAAGAAGCTAATAAAAAAACAGTGGTCTTCAAAGCAGGTGCCCATAAGAAGCTGTATTCCCAGAAGAGGAGGGAAACCTCCTGAAGTGGTCCAATCCCAAAATGCTATCAGAATTGTTTGAGCCAGTACTGTGCTGATACTAAACATCAGTGTGTGAGGAGATGGGGAAGCAGAAGTCCACGTTACATGGAATAGAAGGACTGCAATAAAGAAAACAAAGTTATTTCTTCCCACCAAGCATTTATTCCAGGCAAGAACATTGCTTAGTGTGATGTGAGATCAGTCATGTACTTCTTTTGCTGGAACTACTAAGTATTATATTGTGGATCAACAGAGAGATTCAACTAAGTAACCATTATTAGTGGTTCGAATGATGTAACTAGATTTGGATTCTCTCTTTAACTAAAAATCAGCCTTTGCCTCATGCCTTAGGAGACTGGGAATGTTCACTATATAGAGAAGAGAAGACAAACCTCTTGTAACAACTGCCAAAATTAAGATGTGACTATATGTACTTATAAGGCCCTTACCTTCCAAATACTTTCCACAGTTAGGGTTGTGTGATCTAACTTCAGTCCTCTGTAGCAAGGGACCTACCTGTGACCACACTGGTTGTAGCCTCCAAGGGAAGAGGCGATGTCTCTTTGCACTGCTGAATCTTAGCTCACTTCCTGCAGCTGAGGCAGTTGGGAACAGACACAAAAGCAGCTCATCCCTGGTGCCCTCACAGCCCTACTAAGGGTTAGTACTCAGTCAGGTGAGCCTGTGGTTTGTTGCAGCTGGCCAAAACTAGGACAAACAGGGACTACGTTTAGAACAGGGATTACATTCAAATTGCGATACCTGCACTGAGCAAAATGCCTTTGAAAGGAGAAATTTTGTAGCAAAATCAGAAATGCAACCTTTCTCACAAATGACAGAACCAGAGATTAATACACAGCTGTGCAAAACGCACATCAAGCACGAGGTAAATACAGTAAGATGGAAGAAGCTCTCCATATGACAGACCTCACTAGGAATAGCTCTCTACCACGAGACAGTCAGGATGCAACTGTATCATGCTTTTTAAGAGTATGTAATCATTTGCTTCAACGTTCAACCTGCCAAAATCAGATGCTACTTAAAGTAATCAATTACCTGTACTGAAATGATCTGCAAACATCAAAGAATAAGTTAAAATAAAATGACAAAATAGGTAAGCCCTACATAAAAAGAGAAAAAAGGGAAAAAGTAACAATCTCTTGCCTCTTGTGCACATCAGAGAAAGAGGCCATGGAAACCAACAACGCAAACTGAACTCTCCCACTCAAATTCCAGAGGTGAAGGAAAATGTAGATACTGACCTGAGTCCAACAAGAAACCTACACAGATCCTCAGGGAAATGAACCAAAGCCCATGTATCAGCTCCAGCACTCTTAAAATACCAATATGCGATTTTTTTCAGGGAGAACCTGAGCGATTGCTTCTTCTGAGCTCGATGTTTACAACCAGGCAAGTCTGCCTCCTCGGCCCGGACACATATCCCATGGGCTTCCCCTAGCAGCTCCTCCTCCTTCTAGAAAAATTACTGTTTTTTTTTCAGACGATTACAAATACCTTTGGAAAGAATTCTCTTCCAGCCCTCTCTCCCATCCACCGGCTGAATTTCATGTGCTATTTGTCATTTAAACGTCTTTGGAACGAACGAATAATCATACAGGAGAATTAAAACCATGCCTGATTAATTTGGCTCCTCACATGTTACTTATAAACAGAGAATTCCAGTTCTCCCCATAGCTTCCATCCACCCTAGAGCTTGTGTATTTTCTGCAGCGTTTAAAGAGAAAACCATCTGGTTGTTTTAAAGAGAATTATTGCTGTCTTATAGGGAAAAAGTGAAATTGCCCAAAACTTCTTTTAAAAGGAAAGCACGATAATTAGAATAATACTGGTAATTGTGTGCTTCCTGAAACTACCCTTGTAGAACTAAGGTGTGCCACAGTTGCTTACACTCCAGGTAATTGTCCCAATCCACACAGAGAGCAGCCTGGTGCCCGGGTGGTTCTCAGTACCTTCTACTGAAACCTGCTCAGAAAGGTGATGAACAGCAAAACTTGCTCATGTTCACAGGGCTCCCAAAGGAGCACTGAAACTCTCTGAATGAAGGAGGAGGGTGAACCCTTCTCTCTTTATTCCTTCAACAACCATCTCATTCTCAGCATTATTTTCCATTATGAATTAGCATTAGCACTGGAGAGCAGCCCACACAACGGAAGGGGTTGTTCAGGGCACCAAAGCAGCCAGTCCTTCAAATTCCCTTTGCAGAAACCAGGAACAGAGTGCTCTTTTATTAAAACAAATCCCTCTTCTCTGCTTAGGATTAAGGAATCTGGAACTTTGGCTAGGATGCTCCCTCCACAACAACTCTTCACTGCTATCTGGAAGAGAAATAGCCAAAAATCCCCAGCACAACAGTGAAGAATTGGTGGCATTAAAACAAACATCTGTAGCAATAGACTCTAGACATCCACAAGATCCCTAATTGCCAACAACTAAGCCTAACCCATCTGCTATTAATTCCTCTGCTTTACCTGTGATATTTTATTTCTCATTTAGAGACGTGTATAAACTGAGCAGGGAAAATTAACATTGCAAAAAAGAAATCAAACATAATGATTTACTGGGGCAAGGCAGCTATCAAAGAAATCTGCTGCACAAAATTGCTCCAGCTTATGCTTCTCCAGGGAGGCACATCCCTGACGTGCACAGCATGTGCTGCTTCCCAGAAAAACACAATAAACAGAAGAAAGACACATAAGCAGATTCCAGGCTGAAGTTACACCAGTTTGAACCCACATTTAACCAATGGGATTACACCATGCTCCAAGTGACCGAATGTAAAATGCAGGTCTCAGAAGGAGGGGAAAAAAAAAAAAAAGAAAAAAAAAAAAAGAGCCACATGATCCTACTTTTTAGATGTCAACAACAAGAGTCATGTTATCAAGACCCTGTCTTCCAGCTCTACCGTTGATTTATTGTCTGGCTCTGCTTCCCTCTGCTGAACCCGCTTCATCTGTAAAATGGAGACGCAGCTCTTTTTCTCCTTGGAGATGAGCCTGCTGATCCAACTAACCACATGAGCACTGATAACAGCCCAAAGGAGGGAACGGTCGCTCCTTCTGGAGCAGCACAGGCTTAGCTCAGCTCGTGGCAATTGTGAAACTGTATCCTCAGGGCCCGGGAAGGAAACGAGCTTTCTGGACAAACACTTCTTCATACATCAATCTCTGACCTACTGGGAACACACAAACATAAGATCTTCATTTTTTCCACACCCTAGAAGTATGCTTAGAGTAAGAGCAACTTGCTACACTTCAGCCTTATAAATCCTGAAGGCTTATTATAAAGAATAAGAATGCAGCAGTAAAACAAGCATCATCCCCAACATTTGTTCATTCTACTAAGCACAACCCAGAGGTGTCCTGAAGGCTTTTACCCTCGTTTTGTCACACATCCACACCTTTCCCTTCCCTTTCACATGAAGTGTCAGCAAGACTCCAAGTCTCAAACTTCGAATTTGCATTACAGCCTGAAACACTGGCTAGAAGGGGTGAAAGACTGAAATATTCCTCTGGGTAAACAGCTGCATTGACAACGTATTGCAAACTTCTCCAGGGGATAATACACAGCCTTTGAATGACAACAGTGAAAAACAAGGTATCAGGATGCTTGTAGGAATGAATGTGGTCCCCCTGGATAAAGCAACCCAATGTTTGAACTAAAGAATTAGATTTTGACTGGTTCTTTTAACACTGACTCCCACAGCATTATCATTTGGAAGTCGAGTTAGTATGAGACAGGCAAGCAGGCTGTCAGCGTGCTGAAAATTAGCTGGATCACCAGGCTCAATCTCTCTCTCTCCTGGGAAGGATTTCAAGACTTGACTAGAAAAAGACATTACCTGATCTAGCAGTAGCATCAGAAGTCTGTCCACATTGCACTGTTAACTAAAATACAACAAAGAACCTAGAGGCCAACAAAGGGTTACAGGAGTACCTCTCACTCTTTACAATGCCCATTTCCAGTACACTAACCTTGAACTGAAATTTACCTAAGATGTGCAAAATCTGTTAAATGGCCCACAAAATTAATAGTGAAATTACTCCTGATGACAAAACACCTCTCCTTGTTAAACACACAGCTGTTAGCAGCAATTTGTGAAAGGCTTCAATCTAGAAACACAAACTTCCGTATCTGGGAGCTAGCAACATTTGTAGGGTGAAGGAAAGGTCACTCGCATTCTCCTTCAGATACACAAAGCTGGAATTATTAAACGACTTACTGCAGACTGACTGTAATGGTTGCAACACAGAAAATCCTTCTATTGTCTGTTTTCTCAAGATGTCAAAAGCGTATTGATTTATAGCCATTGTACAAATTGTACAAGCGTATCAATTTAACTGGAAAGTGAGTAGAGTTCCACTATATTGTCTGAACTGTGCCTTAAGACTCGCTACCTGCCCTGCTAAAGGCATAAGATCCTAATTAAAAGGTGTTTTCAGGTGATGCTTCAACAAATGGCCTGGCAAAACACATTTTTAAGCTACAGTTAAAACATCACTGAAATATTTAATAAACACAATTTCATAAAATCAACATTAAATAGCAGAGGAAAGAGAAATGCAGAGAATCATTCACTGATGGAATTTTGCTACACAAAAACCTAAAACCAAAGTCATACAAAATACCATTCATAGAAATGACAGCTTGGTTTACCAGAAGCTCACCAAAAGAATCTGTAGCCCCTTTGATCAGCTACTTAGAGTGCTTCTTTATAAAGGAACAAAAGAAATGCTGTGTCTGTTTGTATTGTTGACTTGACATATTTTAAATGAAAACAGACCAATTTTGTTCAATCAAATGAAGATGACAAGCTGGAAAAGAGCGTTAGTACATTACAAATAGACAGGATATACACTATACAACAATGTAGGCAGAATGTATACTATGCAGCAGTAAAACCTAGAATCTGCTGTAGGAATGAGCTAGTTCCCCCACACACTCTCCATTTTGAGGACAAACTTTCACAGTAGTCTCCCAGATTTAAAAATCAAGATCCCTTATTTGACTTCAAGCGATTGATACGCTATTAAATCTGCCAATAAATTGTTGCAGTCTTCAGCTACCTTCACCCTCTCATCTCCAAGGTCGAGGCAACTACAACGAATTAGATCACATTACACAGCTGTGTTTCTGGATTTTGTGATCTGTAATCCTTATCCCACATGGAAAAAAAAAAAAACGACAGTCTAGTTAATCCAGTTCCTTCTATGAGATTTACTCATGTTCAGGATTAGCTGTGAACATGTGGATGCCTGAAGTCTTCTATTAACTTACAGTCATGTAATTTGCAGTGTGAAAACATTTAGAGGCGTAGGGCTAAAGTGTCTACTTCTTTTGACCTAATTGACCCGTGTTACAGCAGTGCATGACATGAAGCTATCAGAGCCAACAGTGCATGACCTCACAGTAAAATCAAGAAATAATGATAATTACAGATCATTGTTGCCAGTGTAGACATATTTTTAATACCGTCAGGAATTTAATAATTGGAGGATGGGTAATATCAGGTCATGAAATTAAATGTCTCCAGATAACAACCTAACATAGCAATAGGTGTTATTTAGATTAATGGGACATCTGTTTCAACCTTACTTATGTGCTAATATTTAATGCAAAAATCCATGCAGAGTGGTACACGAAGATATCCACAGGCTCTTTTCTGCTACTCCTCACTTGATCCAATCTCTCCTACAAGGTGGACAGTTGCTAATTGTCAAGAGAGGTAAGTGTATCGAAAGCATATTTTGTAAGCAATATTAAGGGTATGTTTCCCCCCTTTAAAACCATTTCTTATCATCTTTGGTTCATCCAATGCCCAGACTTACCAGCCTTACACTAGGTCCCACTCCAGGGATCACAAGAAATCACAAGAAATATTGTCATATCATCTTTTTACTAAGCTGATCATGCTCTGGACTAAAACTTAGCCTTTCAGAGCCTCAGAAGAATTTGGGGTGTGGTGATGATTGGGCTTTTTTTTTTCCTCCTTTTTTTTTGGTCTCTATTTCATCCAAAGCCCTGGTGAGATCTTGTATCATGAGCGTGGAACACTGGGATAAAATACCACCTCTTCAACTGTCTCTTGGCCACATTTATACCCACTGTTTCATCTTCAGATATCTGCTTTTCTTAAGGCTCATTGCATCTCTCCGTGTGGTCAGCTAGCGTCCCCATGCCCACCTCCATTTTTTCATACTAATTCTAGTGCAGAAATTCTTGTTAATAGGCCTTGCATTCAAGTACAATGATGTGCACGGTTATTTTGTTCAACTTTAGATCATGAGAAGGATGTTACGTTGCACTTTTGAGATCCATCCCACAACATGCAGATTAAGGAAAAAATAGAAAAGATGCCTTGGGGTCATTTTGTTTTATCTTTCCTTTGTCATGAGCTGCCTCCAGAGAGGAGGTCATGGATGCAGTAGCTCATCAAAAAATGGTATAAGCCATGAAATGGTCCTTGATGTAACTCACACAGCTCTGAAAAGTTGCCCATGTTATAAGAGAAGTGTTGCACTGCACTTCAAGTCTTGGATGCTTCACTATTTAGTTTTCCCTCAGTTTTTACAGCAAGGAATGCTGGTCTTCCTGTGGCTGCAGCTCTCTTCCCAAAGATGGTAGGGACAAACTAGGGATAAGAAGAACGTCACCCAGCAATTTGTCACCATAGGATTAGGCTTCCACAATAACACAAGATAAACCATGGAGTGCAGCAGTATCAATTAGCAGAGCACGTCATGTAACTAAGGTTGGCTCTGGTCACCTCTGGCCTAGAAAGAGCAGCAGGACATGCACAAAACCACGCTATCCTTTTCACAGTCATTTTTCTTCCACACAGCTCATCCTATAAAGCTGAACTAACATGACACCAGCGGCCAGTGAAATTGAGAAGGTGATAGAAGATACCTAGAGGTTTAACAGGTTAGAAACTAAGTGCACTACTGACAAGAACTAAATACTAGGAAGCTGCATTTTCTTCAACATGATGAGCAACTTGCATGAGCCTGTTAATTTCTCTGTGCTTTCCATGGAAGAATTTGCAATCTGTAACCTAGACAATTTAGGGCAGTATTTTATTGCCAGGGTTGGTCCATGTTTGTAATTTCAATTCTTTGCAATTGTAATGGGGGGGGGGGTGATACTAAAAACCTTTTCTTTTGGTTACAAATTAGAACTTCTAAAATACACTGCAGAGAAAAACGGTACTGGTGGGAAGGACCAGCCACATGAAGGGGGAACAGACTGAACCTGTTTCAACCTTGTATTAAACATTTTGATAAAATTAGATTTCCTTTTGATAATTATTTGAATACATTTGAATTTATTGTACTATAATCTAATAAAAGTTTAAGCACGTAGACAACAACTGCATCTTTTAAAGAAAAAAGAATAAGCATTTTTAATTATAAAATACCAGTCTCTATTTCCTTTCAAGCAGATACGAGTAATCAAACACAATATTCCACTGCAATTGCAGAAGCACACAGCTGGAAACAGCTACAGTGCTGTTGGGGATTTGGGAGGGACGGGATAAGCACCCTCTCTTCCATTGCAATGCGTAGTAGATACAGCTCCTTCTTACAGCTCCCTCTGTTCTTCTAACTATGAAAACTACCCCAGTGTACTGTAAAAACATAGTAACAACAACAACAAAAAAATAGCCTAAAATAAAATGAAAAGGTCATGCCATGTTATGTCAGAAGGCTGGGCACCAGCAGTGTCCTTTGGAAAGGCATTTCACAAGGATGAACCACTGCTAACTAGCCTGCTCAATCACTGAACTTCATTAAAATCCTATTATCCACCAAGGGATATGGAGGAGATCTTATTCTGTGGAGAAGAATTGATTGAAGAGTCTGGAAATAAGGCAAAAGGGAAAGAGATGTTTTGTTGTTGTTGTTTGTTTTGTTTTCCTCAAATGAGAGAATATAAGGAGGAGAACTAGAGAATTTTCGGTAGCTTAAGAGAAAATGTGGCCTTACAAATCAATAGCTTTCGAAGTCTATGGCAATTCCTGATGGAAATTCTGGATAAAAATAAAATGTGTGCACACGTGTTTTGCTCAATACCTGTTTGTTTCACCCAATTTTGAAACCTTAGGTATGATAGGATCAGAGTTAAGTGTTGCTATTCTTGACTGAGTCAAGAATTATTTTCCCTGCTACAAAAGCAAATGCTCCAAAGAACACAGAAGCAAAAGTCGTAAGTGCTTCTTGTCTTAAATCACAGTTTTACAAAACAACCCTGTACACAATACATAAACAAGCCTTTCGAACTTTGAGCGCACAGAGTTACAGTGTAGTGAACCCTGTTAATTCCTTGAAAAATTAGGGAATATTACACAATTATTTTTATCACAAAGTTATTTGGGTATTTTCTTACTGTTACCAAAACAGAGGAGTTGAAGAAAGGCATTTTTATTTTTTGGCTAATTTCCTAATTGACCCCATAAAAGGAAAGTAAAGAAAAAAAAAAAGGAAAAGAAGGGAAAAATAAACACAGGAATATGGTTCTTACCCTGAAGAGCGGCAGTCTGGCTTATTTCTTTCAGAGCGATCTGTGAGAAAGGAGGCATAGTATCAGCACAAAAGTTGGATGTTCTTTAGCAATACTAGCACAAAAGTCTTAAAAAAACTGTCACACCACAGGACTAGCAAAAACAAAAGCTGATTCTGCCATAAAACTGTTTTTCTACACTGCACTATTCTGCCTGAGAAAAAGTAATATCACTGCAAGCTTAACATTTATTAAAATTCCTCTATTCCAAACAGTGTGTATTTCATGTTTTGTTTTAATGCTTTAGAAGCTTCTCCTCCCTTTAGCTAAAATGAATAAGACTTTAGTTTAGGGTAAAAATAAGAGGGAGGGAAGAGGAAAAAAGCAAAACCACAGATTACTCAGCGCAAAAAAATCATTCCATGAATCATGGCTGGCAGAGTTCCCTGACAGGATGGGAGAAAAATCAGCAGTTGGTTGCAGCAACATCTGCAAATACACTGAATCCAGTGCAGGCCCGTCATTAACTCTTCGGCTTCAGGGTGTTCCAGATATGGAATCTTTCTGTGCTTTCACAAAGGGTTTTGTTTATTCAATGACTATGTCAAGCAGCTTATCTGCACTAATGACATTGACCAGCAACTAACATCTACACAGTACAATCACATGACCTCAGATAAACTGCTTTTGCTGACTAATTTATGAGTTCCTAGAATCATCCCCAGATACATTTCTGCATCTTGATTGATTTCTGAAAGCTCTGATACAAAAAGAAAGTAGAAAACACTTCTAAGAGCAAGATTCAACAAACAAGCATCATAAAACAGGTTATTATGTTATTAGAATCCACACACTCAGTTACACTCTAAGTCCAGAACATCCCTTACCGCAAGATTTTTGAAATGATTGAAAAAAAGTGAGACTTATGTCCTCCTAAAATACATATTTTCTAAAATTAGTGGGTTTAAAATTATTTATAACAAAAAGATCAACTATGCAATTAGAAGGGTGTTCTTACACCTATATATAATCAACTCTGACCATTGTGATTTTGCTTTTGATTCTATCTGTGCGTCTAGACAAGAGAAAGCTATTTTCCCTGTTAGTAACAGTTTACTGAAAAGCTTCCCTACCTTGATGAGTAAGAGTCCTCTTAAAAAAAAAAAATCATACTTACAGACTGTATTTTGAACCCTAAGCTCCACACTTGAGCTAAAATTTCTTCTTCTTTTATTAGCATATTTGTTCGTATAGTTTTATCTCATGTACAGAAGAAACATTCTCTTCTCCCAAGTTTTACATGCTCATTTGATTACATTTTGATAAAGTGGTAAAAAAGATCATGTCAACAGTGCCCAAAGGAATACTAATGCTTTTTCCATCCACAGGTGCTCCTATTGAGCTGTCATAGCCACAGAGCATATAATTTACCGTTTCTGACTCACAGCAATCTCCATTTCATCACACCGCATGCAACTCCGTTTGCTAGAAACAGCACGAGATAGCTCAAACCAGAGTTACAGCAGCCGTTGTTCAAAGACACGCAGAAAAAGCTCCTTCCATCTTTATCACTTGTTCAATGTAACCCCCTTACCTATGAGTATGCAAAAAAACACACAAACAAAACAGGCAGTGCCTCCTACTGAAATCTGTTTGCCATCTGTTGCTTGCTGCCAGTGTCCCCGGTTATTTACACAGCCACCACCTAGCAGCAGTCAGAGACAACCTTCCCACCGATAGCACGGCAGTGTGGATGTACCAGTGAGAAGAAGAAAAGAGTCACAGAAGATGTAAACACAGCGTATGTGGGCTCTCCTCTCAGCCCACATCCAACTGGCAGATCCACCACAGCCTGGCCATGCCACTGAAACCTGCTTGCTCAGGAGATCAGTGCATTTCCTTCTCTCCTTCATTTTATTGAAAAAACAAAACATAAGTGTTGTTCTTACACATTTTGTTTAGTGCTAAATACAGAGAAGGAACATCATCCGCCTATACTCTGGTCTTACCAAAAAGAACAACGGGAAACATAATCCTGCAAGCATGCAGTTAGTTTTTTTTTTAGAGTACATGCTTATTGCTATTATGAATTTAATGTTCTAAATTTGTTTAGTATCAAGTGTAATAAGAGACACAAAGAGTTGACTCTTTCTATTTAGCACCTTAATTTTGCGATTCTGGATGCTGTTTCGGTATTATGTACAAGCATCAATTCAACTAATGTCACACACCTCTAAAACATAAGCACACAGGCAAATCTTAATGTATACTGCACGTTACATGCATACACATCCAGGTATATATAAAATATAAATGCATATCCAAATCCCAGCTGAATGCCCACAGCTGGCTCTTTTACTCTGCATGCTACTTCAACAACCGGGATCTTTCTGCAACCTTTTCTAACAGAAACAAGCAAGAAGACAGCACAGAGGCAAAGATCTGAAAATCAAATCTTGCATTACAGATCTTCCTTCACATCAAAGAAACAAATTCCCAGAAAACACTACGGGACATGATGTCTTCCCAGTATGATACCGTATGTCCTTCAATCCTAAACTCTGGAAGGCAAAACAGCACGTCAGATTAGAGCAAGCACTGGGTGTGCACTGGACTAGCATGCACGATGAGGAAGGCAGTCCACACGCACACACAGGAAATTTGCAGGCAAGAATTATGCTTCCACTGACAGATTCTACCTTCAAGAAACAAGCCTCCACAGATGAGATACTTGGACTACTTTCACCATCTCTGCACTACTCAAGCAATACAATTTCTTACTGCGTGTGCAGTTACCATCAAATACAGTACGAATTCCTAAACCTTTGCTGCCCTTTAACAAATACAGCCTGCGTGGATGAGTAGATTATCCTTGTTCAGCAGCAGGATACAGCGCAAGAAGTCAAGAAACTGGCAGGTGGAGCAGATGAGGCGGAAGAAGTCAGAGACTTATGGCTGAGGTCGGGAAGACCGCTGCCAAGTTTTAAACACTGCAGAAGAATCAAGGAAAACACCAGGACACACAGATCTGCTATTCATACCACAACTGTTTGGCAAATCTGGTGTTTATTTAGAAAATCATACTGTGTGCATTTCATCAGTAGCATGGACATGCTACGCCTTCTTTCAGCATTCAAAACTGAGCAGCAGACATATATGTCATATTCCAGTTGCTTTTAGAAAGGGTCAGGTTTCTTTAACTGGCGACTTTCTTAGCCTTCAAGCATGGGAAAATTATCTTGTTTGTTTGCTTTTATTTTGACAGAACAGTTTTTCTTCTCAAGGAAAGTATAAACATAACCATCAGGAGAAAAATAACTGACACGACTTTATTTCAGTCGTTCCACAAACCCAGAATAGCTGAAGTTTTTGCCAAAAAAGACCACCAAAGCAGAAAACAATAGCTTTTAAGTCGTTCCCTCTCGTCTTTTGAAGACAAGCAAAGAAAAGGGAAAAAGGCAGCCCGCACCAAAGAGAGCCATTGTTTTTCTCTGTTTATTTTGCAATATTCTCCAAAGCATCTTGTTGCTAAGAGTGACTTCTACTGAAAAGCCTGCTCTCACTAGAAAAAAATTTAAGCATAAACACAAAACGCTGTTGAAAAAGGAGCGGAAAGTTAAGAGACATTCTGCTGCTTTCAACCTGCAAAGAGAGCGGGGAGCTTCCAATGCAGCTACCTCTGGACACAGATGCAACTTCCTACCCTTAATCCCAGCCCTCAGCTCGAGCTCTTGTAAAAGCTGAATTGGCCGAAGAGGACAAAGGGAAGCACACACTATGTCCACTTTAGGAAATACTGTGTTTCCATCCTAACTATAGCTCTTGAATGGAGCAGCCGCCAGAGGGGGCAGGACATCCCGACGCTCTCCAGGAGGACACCTTTATTACAAAAAACCTGTCCGTCTCAATTGCTTTTAGCCCACCATGGCACTGCAGTGGTTTCATAAAGACAAGTAGTAGGAGATGCTTGTAACAATACTTCTGCAGCAATGGCAAGCCTCTGTAAAAAAACAGGCAACAGAAACAGTGGGCTTTTAAGCAGTACTGTTGCCAGTAGTGCTGGCAACCCCAAATACAAAAACTACAGAGAAGTCATCTTCTCAGAATAGGCAATTGTTGAAAGTGACTAAACAAATTGCTCCAACCCACATGCCCCAGTCCCCAAGGAGCATACTTCTGTAAGCTTCTAGGCCCTAAGCCTGATGCAGCAACCTTAACAAGACATCATGAAGAGATGCGATAGCTACTACCATTACATTAACAACTTCATTTTCCTAATCTTGACCAGCTGACCCAGCTGATCACATTGCAACAGTTCCTGTTAGCCAGCTGCCCCAGATCAAAGAGCCCCAAATTTCCACTTCACATTATCAGCGTACATAGGGCCCTACGTCAAACAAAACTGCACGTTCCCTGGGCAAAAGATCTGCAGCTGTGTGGGATTTTCAGTGCTCGTTTTATTTGCACTGAGATAAGCTATAGCGGCCTGTGGTGTTGCCGTATTTCTGCCTTCCATTTTGTTAAGGCAGGATGTGGCTCTCAGAGACTCCTGCTTCTTTATAGTGCTCCTCTTGGGTGAGGAGTCGTAACAATGCAAATCAGTTCCAGGGTATGCAATCTACTATAAATTTCATTCAGTTTGATTAGGAACTGCTATGCAATAAAAACTGCAAGACCGAACATTTATCTATATATTTCAGTACTGTAGCAGCAGAGTCCCTTATCAGTTGTTTAAAAGGCAGAAAGCATGAGGAGAGATTAATGAGAGGCTTTGAAGAAGTTTTTCTCATTTAGTGTAACGTATAGCTATCCCTGCTCTCCAAAAGGCCACAAAACCAGGACACACACCAATTTTACAACCATAAGGGCAGACGGTTTTTATACCTTCTTTAAATTCTGCAGAATGCTGCTAAATTCCAGAGCAGTAAATTGGGGAAAAGAATGGATTACACAGCCCGCTGCCCCCCAAATGAAATGTCACTGGCCTGTCCATTTCAATAC